CAAACGTATCGAGAGCTATCTGACATGCAGTGTACACGTAAAAAGAAAATTAACTTCCACAGATAAAAAATAGCTGTGGCAGATAAGATGTGTCACTGAAATAGGGACAGCTAATGTCGATACTACCGAAGCTAAATTTATTCGCTGTTTAAACTTAGGCGCTACAGCGAGAAATATTAGCTGCTAAAAACAAATGACTGTAGCAAATGATTGTAGCTGTGCGGCAAACTTCTTTAATATATGCATACGATAAGAAATTTAGGAATAACTGCCATTTTCTTAGCTACTTGAAATAATGTGCATTTTTAACGTCACCTAATATATTTGTATTTCATAGCGAATGCATTTTAGCTGTCATAGCCAATTTTTAGCAGTGACAGCTAAACGATTAGCCTTTTGACTAAGTTTGAATCAGCTGCCGCGGTTTAGCTGATATTACTAAGACATTTTTTTTGCGTGTACGATTGTCACGCTATTGTGTGGAAACAAAGATAATTAAGATGTTTCATCTTGCCCGCATATTTCATCTTGTCCGCCCTTTCTCCATATCTGCATTACTTTCATTACGGGCACAGTATAACGTGATCGCGGATTACATCTTCGCGCTTTTCCGCGCGAATCGTTCTCTTTTAGTTTGATCGCGCACACCTCCGGTAGCGTTGCGGGTTAGCATCGCGACGCCGAGAGTTATCACGATAGTGCAATATAGCTTGTCCGTACAGTAGTGCATTTGCACATTGAGAAAAGGAGCGGCTGTGTTAAAGTAAATGCAACATTCCTCGTACTTGAGTCCGGGAAAAGAGCTCGCTGTGCTGCCCTTCTTATTTCTCCAGGGACTTTTCGCAGCGAGCGAATGAGAGATCAGAATTTTTCTTCATTCTTTTCCCTCGTTTTCCTTTGTTGCCTTTCTTCGGCCTTCACTTTCTTCGACGTGAATAGGGAAATCGGCTAAATATCTCAGAGCACTCCCGGACGTTGTCGCGATACTTTCTACTTATCTCTATCTTCCCTCTCTTATCTTTTTTTTCTCCCGCTCGCGGAAGAGAAACCAGAAAACTACATATCTCGACGAGAATAACAATCGACGTCCATTCGGCGGGCTACGCAAAGTGGTTCTTTGGTGGCGAAGAGGAACTATGCGGATTTTCAATAAGTGGTCATTTTAACAAAAGAGATGGTCGCATTGGGCTCTCTACGGGATACACTTTTTTATTTGCCCGCATGGCGAACGTGGCATTGTGCACTCTCGCGGAAGGAAAACTTTGCTCGTATAAAACATCGGGCGCGCATCATGACACAGGCGCACGTATGCATATATCGCACGTTAGTTCGAATACCACGTTGGGTATCTGTAAGGAACGCCCTTAAAGTCCCAGGGCGATTTACCCCATCGCCGAATATCTATAACAATAGCCAGCTTTGTAGATCGCTCAATGCTTGAAAGCCTCATTGATTATTCGTCTTGTTCATGTTCATCTTAGTTCTGTGTCACTTTACCAGTTTTCCTTTTTTTATGTTATTATTAAGTCTCTGTTTTATTATAATCTTTAAATCTTTTACTGTATAAATATGCAAGATATTTTGTGATTAGTAATATATTCAAGATTATAATGTCATTCTAAATATAAAACAAATTTATTTAGAAAAAGGTAATCTTTTCTTCAAGAAAGCGACTTAGAGATTGTAAAGTTAACATTATTTTGTCTTTCTGTACACTGTAAATATAATTGGTCAGAATAATTACAATCGAGCTAATAAATTTCTGGATTATGCTTGGCAAACTAATAGCCTTAATTCTTTCAGCATAATTTTATTCTCGTAATCTCTTATTCATATCAAACGAACTAAACGTTCAGTAAAATCGATTAATCATGATATTGATTTCACTGTCTTGCAAAGTGACGGGTAACCGATGGATTGTCAAATGTAGTAACGAGTAAAAAGTTTCACTTAATTTTTCTATCGACTTGAGCTACATACAATATCAAAGAGAATAATAAAATATTTTATTAGATTTTTCCTTTAGGTAATATATACTATGACAAACCGTTAATTTAAACAATGCCTATCTAATTCATTATCCACAAAAAATAAACAATTTCAACATAACAGTAAAAAAAACATAGTAACTGACAACCGAAGATGTCAGCAACTAAATGACATTAAAAAAGGCGAACCTGTACAATCAGGTCTCAGGCAATACACATAGTCGCATGTCATACAGACACGCATTATTAAATGTTACTTGAAACTTGTCCTACGTGAAATACTCAGATCTAAATTTAGAGTTAAATGTGAGTTTCTTGCGTAAACTATATACATATAATATATATAACATTATATTTGTAATTACGATTCAATTGAAAAATTCATATCTAACTCTAAATTAAAATTTAGACACTTCATCTGAACAATGTTGCCAGATTAAAACTATGCTTTTTCATCAATCTTTAATCAGAAAGTTTCCAAATTTCCCTATTTCTGATAAAATTTCACCAAATTAATGTAATTTTTCACCAACTGTCTTGTAATTCTAATTCTTAATTTAACAAATTTTTAAAAGTTTATATTTCTTTCATAATTAAGCTTATGAGTTTATATTTCTTTCATAATTAAGCTGATTATCACAAAACGGAAAATAAAACAATTGTAATTAATATAATTTATGAATATTGCTTTATTTACATAAATATATAAATATTATATTGGCATAACTATTAAAGAATAAAATAAAATGGCGAAATAAAATAAAATAATAGCTGTGAAATATAGAAATACATTAGCTGTGTTTAGTAAACACAATAATTATGCGACTATTGAATACACATGACAGTACAAGAACAGTACAAAACACTGTTGACAGTAGAAGAATACATAGAGTAGAATACATAGAGTTACATTGGCATAACTATTAAAAAATAGAATATAATGGAAAAATAAAATAGCTGCGTTCAGCAAACACAATAATTATGTGACCATTGAGAAAAATCTCTAATTGGTCTATAGTTTTTAATCTATCAATCATATCTTCCAAATATCGATTACTTTTCGATCGTTTTATGTTCTTTGATTAATGAATTGATCAATTATAGTCGATTATTTTTCTCATATTCGACTGTGAATAATCAAATTTTACAGTTTAAGACTTACACCTATTGTAGACCCGGTTTTATAGGCTGTAAAAAGATCATCAGTTTAAACTTATCTATTATAATGAGAAAAAAGATCGGGAAAAACAAACCAAGACTTTGGATTGAATAAATTTAATTGTGTCCACTACAGTCGAGTTAAATTGAATAAAAATTAACTCTGTTCATCAATCTGATGTAGGAATTTCAACTAAAAAATTTAATTAAAAGTAAAAGATTAATAGAATTGAATTTATGTCAATATAAATTTATCTATTATATTGAGAAAAAAGATCGGGAAAAACAAACCAAGACTTTGGATTGAATAAATTTAATTGTGTCCACTACAGTCGAGTTAAATTGAATAAAAATTAACTCTGTTCATCAATCTGATGTAGGAATTTCAACTAAAAAATTTAATTAAAAGTAAAAGATTAATAGAATTGAATTTATGTCAATATAAATTTATCTATTATATTGAGAAAAAAGATCGGGAAAAACAAACCAAGACTTTGGATTGAATAAATTTAATTGTGTCCACTACAGTCGAGTTAAATTGAATAAAAATTAACTCTGTTCATCAATCTGATGTAGGAATTTCAACTAAAAAATTTAATTAAAAGTAAAAGATTAATAGAATTGAATTTATGTCAATATAAATTTATCTATTATATTGAGAAAAAAGATCGGGAAAAACAAACCAAGACTTTGGATTGAATAAATTTAATTGTGTCCACTACAGTCGAGTTAAATTGAATAAAAATTAACTCTGTTCATCAATCTGATGTAGGAATTTCAACTAAAAAATTTAATTAAAAGTAAAAGATTAATAGAATTGAATTTATGTCAATATAAATTTTGCTCTTCATAGGGAAGTTTTCATTAATTTTTAGAATAAAACAAAAATTACCAAATCTAATGAAATTTCACCAGCATTGATAATTCTAGTTGATATTTGAAATTTGTCTCATGTGAGACACTCAGATTTTTATTCAGAATTAGATCTAAATTTTTCAATTAAATTATTGTATATAAGTGATAAAACTCGCGCACTTATATCTTGTCGCAATGAGCATTTTTATCTGTGGATAAGCGAGATAGCCAGCGCAATCTATCAACGGTTACTGAGTTGTGTAGCCGAATTCTGTACATTGCAATTTACTTAACAATCTTGAAGAAGCTTTGTAATGATTTCTTCTAATTCAACAAATCTCGCAAATATCCAATTATCAAAGACATTAATTTAACATATTTATCTCGTCTGATTTACTTCTATCCAAAAAGGAAAAATTACACATATTATATAGCTAAATCAATTTTTCGTAGTCGAAAAGACATTTATAGCATCCATATATAACTGCATTTCAATTCTATATTAATCTTTTACTTTTAACTAAATTGTTTAGTTGAGATTTCTACATCAGATTGATGAACAGACTTAATTTTTATTTAATTCGACTGCAGTGCATACCATTAAATTTACTCAATCTAAGGTCTTGGTTCGTTTTACCCGATCTTTGTCTTAATGTAGTGGATCAGTTTGAACCGATAATCTTTTTATAAGTTGTCAAGCTCGTTTCAATGGTGTTCATCGAGATACAAATGAAAGAAACAGAACTTCGCTCAAGAAAAATAAAGGTGAATTCAAAAGTTTACTTATAACTAATTTTTTCAAGTATATATAAAGATCCGAAGCAGTTTCACTTTCACGTTAAATAAGACGAACCGCGTTTTATAAACACACGTACAATTCTCAATGAGTTTCGAAGCTGTCGACGGGTATTATTGTAAGAAAGGACAATAACTTCGTGGTAATTGATACGCAATTTTGAACTGTGTTTATGATGTAACATGATATTCGTCTCGTTTCAGGTGGCCTGGATGCTTTTCGACAAGAGCGCTATTCTGACGGTACAGAATCATGTTATTACCAGGAACCCCAGGATATCCGTGTCGCACGATAAGCACAGGACCTGGTTCCTACATATCAACGACGTGCACGAGGAGGACAAGGGAAAGTACATGTGCCAGATTAACACTGCTGCTGCCAAAACGCAATATGGCTATCTACACGTCGTAGGTAAGATTTCCACTTATATTAAGCTCAGTGTATTATTTTCTGCGTGTTAACGTCACTTGACTTTCTTACGTGATGTACTTTTGTAGTATTATTCGTTTTAATCGACTTATTTTTTTGTTTCTTTGTAAAATATAATATATATCATTTTATGAGCACGTTAGTGAATTTTCTTCCGAAATGCGATACACTTTCTGATATATTTATTAATAATTATTAATTCGGAAATTAGAAATAATTATGAGGATTACTTTGTGAATAATAATAAATTTATTTATAATAATTTGATGCCAAACGAAGTTATGTACACGTATGCGAAAGTAGTAACTGTATATATTAACAGGGGAGGTTTCTTCTACTTCTAAATCTAGAGACTTTGTGAAAACAGTAACGTAATTAATGCAGAAGACGCGTTACTGCAATTAAATTCCGTATTATCCGCAATAACATCGTACAATTTATAATTTTTTTCAAAATCTAATTTTCTGAGAGTAACCTTAACTCTTAAGCACTGACAGGAGTCTGATAGACTCCCAGTGAAATAAAGAAACCTATTGCTGTTTCACTCTCGCTTAAACGTGTACATATCGCGTCCATCTTTTCTTTGGCCCGTAAGATACGAAGTCACGACAAGGAAAGACGTTTCGCACATTTTCTCAAGTAATTATCAAATTTCGAAATATTTTTGTAACTCTGTGTCAGTGCTTAAGGGTTAAGGATAGAACATATTACTAACATTTAATTCCTAAAATATAATTTTCCGCTGTTTGTAGGATCCTGCAGTTAAGATAAATTGTGACTGCATTTCATCAAAAAGATATCAGTTCACAATAGTTATAAGCGGACAATAGAAGGACTTCAGCGCGTTTCTTAGTGTCACGCGCGCCCGCGCGTCTCATTTTTCATATTTTGTCGTTTTCAAGAAGGGAGGGACCATCTAGCGCGTTTAACGTTAATTCTGCAGCGCCATTATCCGTAGCGGGGAACATACCCCGATCGATTGTTATTTACGACCTTATCGTATCGCACTGTGAACCCATTAGACGCTCCGAATAAATCTCATTTCGCGTAATGGAGTCAGCTTGCCGTTCCTGAAGTTTACATGAAACGGAACATAAGCATTTTATCGCGGCCATCTAAGCAGATTTATACTTATTTATACTTAGAGAGCAAAAGAGTATCCCCAACGTATCCACTAATCTTGCAGTGGCAACAGAGCTATAATAATTTAATCAGAAGAGAGTATCTATAAGACCGGGGAGGCGGTCCGCCATCCCTCCACCGGCTGAGAGAACACATTAATATCTCGAGTTTTGACATCTCGACTGTGGCCCAAGGTTAGAGCGAAAGCGACGATACAGAGGACGGAGCTGCGAGAGGATAGATGCGTCGGAGGAGTAATCAGAGGGCTAGATTAATTGTTTCCACGGGACTCTTGCCCTCCGCTGCACAAACACACGCAAGACTTCCTCGCGGTACTCTCTCGGCACTTCGTGATAATGCCGATGAAGCCGACACAATGGCAATCTGCCATGACTACATCGAGCGTAACAAGCTCCGCCGATGCATTTAGGTATTATCTGTCTCCACATTTGCCGCCGCCACGCGCGCGCACGCGATAGATAATCGCGTGATTTATTCCGCGGAAGAGATCGTCGATTAAACGGTCATTCCAAGAGAGAAGAAGCGCGCGCGGTCATTCCGTTGACTTCTTCGGGTGTAACGATGCGATATCGAGTATCTCGCGCGTTTCTCTCACCCTCCTCGTTTCTGGACACCGATGGGGTAGCTTTACATTGATTGTAACACGGCACAATAGCGACGTTTCACGATAATTCAGGTCATTGATGGTTGTGTACATCGGAAGGGACTAAAACGGGTCAATGTCACAAATATAATTTTGATAGATTGCTATGAAATATTTCGTTGAAGCACGCGCGGTCCGTAAATTATCGTGAGCGGGATTACTTAAAGAAAAATACACCTGTTGATTGCGTTGAAATGTATGTTGCATTTTAATCTTACGACGTGTTTTCGGCACGGAAGATTCCCACGTTATCAATAAGCATGTAAGTTGTGTGACGTATCGTACCGTAAATTGTTAGAATGAAATACGAGCTTGACATTAGATACCCTAAGGGTATGCCGTAATTAGCAATCTACAGTTTACCATTGCTTCACTCACAACAAAACTCAATAGTCATGCTGGCACGGGTTTCCTCTTTTAGAAGTTAGCCGCGATCACGTCGGAACAAATCGATGTTTAGGACAATTATATATAAAATATCTTACTCGTCATGATCGTAAAAAATCATAATCACAATTACAAATACGATTTACGCAAGAGACTTATTTATAAACGTGTTATAGCAGAAAACGTCATTTCGAGGTTCTTTTATGGGAAAACTTAAAAAAACTGACAAACTTGCGTTTGTAATATCTTCTCGTCAAACCGTCGGAAGTGTAGCTCAAAAATTGTAACGACCGTTACGACGCGAACGTCTTATATATATATATATATATATATATATATATATATATATATATATATACGCGCAACCGCTGTCAAAATAAGTTTACCGACTTATTACGAGAGTCGTTGAGAATCATCCAAGCTTTAAAATACGAAAAGATCTCGTTAAATGTACAATCTTCAAGATCAACTGTCTTAGAAGCAAAATCTTGTATAAAAGCGTTTTATTCTACATCTTCGACTTTATTTTTTTACTTATTATTTTTCCTCTCATTTTCTCACAAAGGGTCATTAGCTTCTTAATTTTATTACTAGCCACGGGGCGTTGTGACGCTGCAATGAGAGAAAAAATAGATAATCTTACAAATTATATAATCTCAAATCGCAAAAATAATCTAAAAAATTAATTAAATTATGTTAAATTAAATCTTAAAAATGTATAATTTTAAAAATTACACATATATATATATATATATATATATATATATATATATATATATATATATATACGAGTACACATTTACATATATATAATTTTTGAGATTATCCGTGTTTAAGATTTAATTTCATTTAACTTATATTTTTAAGTTACTTTTTAGTTAATTTAAATTTATTTAATTAAATTATATATGTATATATAGTTATTTTCGATGCCAATTACAGGGTGTCTGAAAACAGGTTGAAAAATGCTTGAATACATGTAGATACATGTATGCTTGTATACTTGTATGCATGTAGATTAGACTAAACTAAACACAAAATTCTCTTCTACTATTTTACAAGTACGTAAAATTTTGAGTTAAGTGCTTCTTCAGTGATGATTTTAAATAACTGCGGTTCCCGAAAGAGAGTAGATTTTTTTTAAGCAAGTATATCTAAATTTCTTTTCTCTTTATTATTATTTTCCTGAGAAATGTTTAAAATTGGAATACAAAACTAATCGGGTTTGTATTTGCTATGAGTTAAAAAAATACAATAGTTCATGTAAATAGAAAAGAATTTAATATATATGGTACGAAACTTGTTTTCCGGGCACACCATTTAAGGGGTTAATTGAAGAGAATGAACGAATGGTTGCGCGAATTATTTGCAAAATTGTAGAGAACTTTTTTGTTCCATTTTACCTAATGTACAAGCGGAAGTCGTATCCACCATTATACCCAACACCGTATCATGCACGATCATTCGCCAATCTTCTTTAACTCTTTAAGACTTAAGTGTTGATCCTGTCCGAGTAAAATTTTTTTCTTTATAAAATAGTCTTATAAGACGATCTTGATGAAGAATTTTGTGATTCGATCAAAATTGACCATCGAAAGATACGAGTTTTTGAATGTACATGTTTATGTACATTTATGTTTGCACATATGTCGCAACACACAATTTAATAGCATAGAATTTAAAAAATCTCACAACATAAAATATAACAGTAACGAACATAATAATAATAACTATAATGATGAATATAAAAATGCTAATTTTGCATTTTAAAATTACATTGACAACAAATTGAAAAAGTAAAATTTGCCTACTTTTTTCCACAAAAAATTTTTTGACACAATTTCGAGCGTCAACGATTCCGCTATGTATACGACTGCTATATTGATTTCTTCCGCGAGAAAATCACTATTTTGCAAATTGAACAAAGCATATAATTTAAGATTGACCAGTAGTATTATATCGACGAAATCATTATTTTGCTAATATAAAAAATTTATGGAAGCCTCAAAATAAATATACATAATCATGTGCCCTGGATCTTAAAGTGTTAATTAATGACTTAGAATTTGATTGATCGCAAAATAGTAAAGGAATTTTATGCTCAGTTTGATTTAATCTATATGTGCACACGAGCGTTTTGCCATATTTACCGTCAAATACTCTATATATTTTTTAAAAAACACGGTCTTACATTCATAGTGAGAATTATCTAAATTCCAGGTTAGCTAAGATGGATAAACTAGCAAACACTGCGATATTGCATATGTTTTGTATTTAATCAAAATAGATAGATGACATAAACATAATTTGTATCTGAATCATTTGTGAAATCTGACGAGAAAATCTCTGTGTGACGCTCATCCTAATTAAAGCCAGTCACACTTCTTATAAAAATTAACTGTAGACAAAAAAGAGCGCAACGAAAGACAAAATTATATGATCAAACGAACTGCTGAATGAAGTTCAATCATAATTATGCGAATGCTTTCGTCTGAGTAGTAAACAACAGATGAAAAAAAAACTTACAAAAGAGCATTTTTTGTTGTTATTTATGTTTTATACTTGTATAATCTTCATACCCATCTAAATTTGCTAACAGATATTGCTGCTGTAAATTGTACGTACCACAAGAAATTTTCTAGCAAAAAGCAGTGATAAATTTTAATTGTGACATTTAGAATTCTATCTGAACCAACAAAATATCTTTTTTAGTGTACCTTCTTATTGTTCTAACAAAGCAAGTAACATTAGCAATAATACATGTAAAGTTATTATCACTAACAGTATCATAACATTTGCTACAGAAGTT